GTCCAGGGTGATTTTTTTAGTGGCCAGCAGCCGTTTGGCGGCGTGCATCTGCAGACGGCCAAGCCGCTAGTCCTGATCTAGCACAGCCCCACCACCACCCATCTAAATTCGGTGGGCATGTAAACAAAGGAAAGTCGTTTCTTCAAGCAGGCAGATGATGGTTTCTAATTTCCCAAGCTTCTTCTGCATACTGCATTCCTTCTTTTTATAACTCCACGGTCTCGCTGTCGACGATACTTCTTTTTCGCAATCTGGCGTACGGTTGAATTTTCACCGAAACATTTTCCACCCGACTGTTCAAGTGTTCTTGAGCTTGCTGCTGCATCGGCCTCTACGCCATACTTGGGGTCACTCTCGCGATGGTGCTCTCACCACGCGAGCAGCGTTCCGATTTGCCCACCATGAACATGGCCCTTTCGAGCTCCGAATTGAGTCCCTTGGACGGACTCGTATCAGTGGAATTGTGAGATATTCATTGTCTTGGTCGTCAGTTCTGAGACGCGTCCTAACACACCAGTAGAAACCCACTTCCCTCGTCATTCGTGACATACTTTCCCATGAAGGAATACTCAACAAGCCTGGTGCCACCCCAACCACATAATGGCTTTGGCGGCCAGGTAGTGACCAGGTAACCATTGCCTGCTCTATCATATTATAGTGTTCCGTTCACTGACATGTTTCTGTTAGCAACTGGGCTTCCCACCTTGCTGTGCAAATTCCCAAGAACCGATTGCCTGCCTGGTGTCGCGTCGCGACCGCACCAGCTTCACGCGCGCACTGCTCCTTGAAAACAATCATGAAGAGGGTCGGCATTCCTTGTCGCCCTCGCGCTCGACCTCTGATCGCCCCTGCCACAACTGATGCCACGGAGGAACCAGACAGTGACCGTTCTGCGCGAAGACGCAAGTTGGATGATAAATTGGTGTTAGGGGAGGTGTCCTTCCAAGAAACTCCGCCTATGGCTACCGAGTTGATTTTCAACCAAGCAAAGAGTAAGTCGTGGCCTTCCCTGCATGGCATTTGGATTTTGCTAATATTTCGGTAGCGGACGTGATCTCGCACATTTCGAATCACCCTTCTTTAAACAAGTTCCACGACAACCGATATACGCGACCCGCCAACTGCCGAGGTGTGAAGCGCAACGCCGATGGAGAGACGGTCACTGATGGTCAAGGATGGAAAATACACCTAGAACACATGAGCGCGCTGAGAGAGTCTTGGAGAGATCTTGGCCTCCTACCTCAACAGTCTGACGAGGAGGAGTATCAGGATATCCGTACCTATCCAGCTGCGTGTGGCGTCCCGGATCTTTCGATCATTGCCGATGATGAATCCGAACCCGAGACTTCGCAAGCACGGCCCATGCCCCAACCCGCTTCAGCTGCCGCAACCTCACCCGCCAAGCGCAAGGCCAGACTTGATAATTATAGTCGTACTAACCTTGGCTTGGGTTCGACATTGGTTAAATTAAACCCTGGTATTACGCCGGCCTCAATTCTGACATCGCCTATCAAGTCCCTGACTTCACCACCTCGAGATGTTCCAGCTGTGTCATCTGCCATCAGCTTGAATGAGAATATCACTTTGGAACCGAAGCTTCCACAACTCGCCATGAACCTTCCTCCACATGGGCCAGCTAAGGGCTTTAAGCCATCGCTATATCCTGAACCCGCCACCGTTAACGAAGTGGGCGCATCGAGCCCTATGACACCCGAGCCTGTCCCATCCCCTACCAAACGTCCTGGAGCACCCACGCCTTCTCGCTGGGCCCGATCTCCGCTTGCTACCCCTAAGTTCGGCACGCCCGCCACGCAACACAGAAATACTCCGCTCAGACCTCTGGGCATTGTTGATTCTATGTGTCCTTCTACTCCCAACCTTGATGGCGTTCCTCCTTCTTGGGAGAGTAATCCAGAGATGTTTGATTTTGGAGAAACCAGCGATATACAGATGAGCCCTAGAATCGACTGGCTTCGGAACGATGCGTCTGAGTCCAAGGAAGCAACCCGAACTCAGAATGTCAATAAGAGCCGAAGACGAAAGAGTGAGCCTATCCTGAATAGGCATTTGAAGAAGCTTGGGGCCTCGCGCCGCCAATCGGATATGCATCAGATCTTATCATCTCTTACGGACGATCACGATGATGTCACTCAAGCAAGCCCAGGTCTGCAAACATTCGAGACCCAGACTGCTCTGCCCGCTTCTCACGAAGCAGATGTGTCAACACCTACACACCAGCAAGAACCTGGAAACGAGTCTCTAGCAGCGTCATCGAGAGTTGGCAGCGCCGGACCGATCACACCATTCTCAAAGTATTTCCTCGAAAGACAGCCCTTGTCAGTTGTACGACCAGCCGGAGCACGGTCGGATCGCAACGGAATTTATAGCATAGACATGCGACAGAATCCCGACATCTTCAATTCTCGAGTTGTCATTGCCCCTGCAGTAGAGCAGCTGGCAGGTTTGGCCGGAGAAAGCTGCGACGGGTATGCCAATGTTGTGGTTACCCAGTCTAGCGGAAAGCTTGTTGTTCGGTTTAAGTTGCCGACCAAGTATGCCTCTCTATTTCCTCAGAGCCAAGTTGCTGATGAGCCGGATTTGGAATCAGTTTCTTCTCCACACAACGCCGCTGAAATCTCCCGAACTATCCATCAGGTTGCTGAAAAGACATCATCAAACAATACCCCAACGCCCTCACCGCACAAACATATAAGCCGCACCGGCCTTGGCATCATGGATAGCGCATTCACCCCAGGTAATCTTGTGGGAACATCTTCACCCCTTAAGAAAGTCCAATTCCCAAGCAGTCCAGCGAACGAGGACTCGAATGACCAGACGCTTGTCGTAGGTGACTTTGAAATGGAACCGTACATGGATGGAACCCCATTGAGGTCGAGCCTTTCACCTATCTTGCAGTCTTCAGAAATCAGGACACCTGCTCGGCAACTACAGGATCTTGATGTGCAGCCCCCGAGCTCAGGACAGATCAGCGATCTATCAATTGAGCCGTCGTTTCAGACTCCTACATTTGCCAACATCGACTTTTCACCGGCTCTGCCTGGAGATTCCAAAGCAACCCCGTGCAAGGCGACACTATCCAAGGCGACACCATCTAAGTCGGCACTATCTAAGGCGACGCCGTCTAAGGCGTCATCAGCTTCCTCCCGCCGCAATACCCCTTCTGAACCAAAGGTCAAGACACCATCAGTTTCGCCTGACCGGGATATCTCTGCTGAAGCTCAGGTAAAGACAAGCCCAGGAGGCACACCGTTAGCCACATCGTTCACTCCCGTCAACAAGAACTCTCCCCGTAATTCTGGAGCTGTGCCAACGAGCGGCAGTCATTCAACACGGGCGCCAACTCCTTCCAAGGAAGATTGTCATATTGGGGCTGAAGAACTTGTTGCTCCTAAGCAGCCCATCGCAAAGGAGCCGTCTAGCAAGAAGACTACAGAACAGAATCTTGATAGCCCTGGTCGAGAATACATGCGGGCTTTTATTAGGAATATGAAGCCCAAGCGATTGTCTACTACCGAGACTGGCTCGCCCATTGCACATTCCCCGGCCCGTGTCCCATTGGAGGCTAAGAGCCCTAATGCTGGAAGCGACAACCCTCAAAAGCTGAAGCGTAAGCACAGCGTTGAAGACGATAGTGGGGATTCGCCAGTGAAGAAGTCTGAGGAGCCTGCTGTGAAGCGAATTCGCCGCTTGGGCAATTTGTCGAAGGAGAAGTCGGAAGAATCCCGACCGAAGCGCAAGGCAAAGCCAAGTGCTCAGAAATCTGTGGTTGAGCAAGACAACGTGCCTAGTCCTCGCAAGCAGGAACCGAAGGAGGTGGCCTCAGAAGAGGGACCATGTCGTCGCTCGAGCCGTCTGAATACCCAGGAGAAGAAGTCCTCTATCCCGACGTCTATCAAACTAGGCCGACCTACTGCTGGGCGGGACCCTGTTCAAGGAAAGTTGAACTCGGCGGTGCGAAATGAGCAAGCGGAGCTCACGCGCCAGACGAATATGAACACCAAGAGGAACAAGGGCAAGGCCGAATCGGTACAGCAAATCTTGGCTAGAGTCTCGGAGGAGCTTTCCGAAGGCGAGTCTAACGACTCAGCAAGCGATGGGCAAACCAGGAAGAAGGCTAAGAACGTCACCTGGAGAACCCCCCTCGAGTCTCACCAGGGTGAGAAAACCAAGCGTGGCCGTCCTGCCGGCACGCTTGGCAAGAAGAAGGCCACGCAGGGGGACACTGGGGTGTCAAAGCCCAAGGCGACACCCCAGAAGCCTCGCATTTCCAAAGTGGCGGCCCAGAGCCTGGGCATGGCGGGGAATGGCACCCCCGCCAAGCGGATGACTCGAGCCCGGACTCGAAGCCAAGACTGACCGGTGAAGAAGATAACGTGTAATGATTTTTTTGTTTGAGAACTTTTGTTTTTGTTTTGGAGTTTGGGGGTTGGAAGAATCTTTGATTCAAGACGGCCAGCATGGATGAATGGATGATTGTTTGAGATTCGCACCATCATAGCAGGAGTTTGGGATTGCTTTTCACAAGATACCAGAGTGTTTCTGTCTGCGCTGTGTTTGTATTCATGTATGGTTGAAAATGGAATGGAGTTTCTGCATAGTCGAAGTAATTAATGGAAGGCATCCCATGATATCTTTTGCACTGGTGTCTCGGTGTATTTGGTGACTTGTCCAGTATTCTGATCCAGGAAGTTAATATTCCTGACTTTGCCAAGCAGTTCGGCGTGGTTTCCATGAATTCCTCCCGAGTCATGGTGATATCTTTGGTGTACTTGATCATTAGTTGTTGAGAGATGCAATAATGATACCTTGAGGTTAGACTAGCCTCCCATCCTCCCATTAACTTTGGAAAACAGGATGGAGCTGGAGGCTAAATATCTAGTCCGTGTGAGAGGAAGTATAAATGGGAAAATTTCGATTGACGAACGCTACAATTAAGACGATGTGCCCCTTCTGCACTCTAATTCATTGCCCTGGACGCCCTAGTCGCGCCCCTTTTCATCTTCATTTTCCTGGCCGTTCTTTCCCTCGTTGTTCTGGCCCTGGCTCTCGATTTCCCGGTCACTTTCCCGGTCCTCCTCCCCCTCTACATTCATGTAAGGCACGTCGTAGTCCCGATCGTTGTCGGACTCCCGCTTGTACCACGGGAACCGGGCCCGGAGCTTCCTCATCCTGCCCTCGCGGGCGGCGGAGTCGTAGCACTCGGGCCTGTCCTTCCAGCCGTCGAAGATGGACAGGAACCCGTTGACGTGGGACTTGCAGCCGGCCTTGACCTTGTCCGCGAGGTCGCTCGGCAGGCCGGTCTTGCCGCCGTAGGGGTTCCTGTGCCTGCCCTCGAGGTCGCAGATGGTGCCGCCGCGGACGGTGCGGCCGTAGTACTTGTCCCAGGCGGTGAGGACTCGCTTGCCGGGCTTGCCGGGCCCGCACTCGGCGTCGAGGTCGGCCATGGCCTCCATGAACTCGAGGAGGCTGCCGGTGTTGACGCCGCCGGGGTTGCAGATGTAGACGACGGCGTCGCCGTAGAGGGCGTAGCGGACGCTCTGGCTGGGGACGAAGAACTGGGGGGCGTCGAAGAGGAGGCTGATGGCGGCGTGGTAGTCTTTCGTGTTGGGGACCCAGTCCGGCTTGTGGCAGAAGCTGTGGCCCGAGGGGATGGGCGTCTTCTCCGTGAGGTCGTCTCCTCTGGCGAGGAGCTCCGGCCTTCCTCTGGTGAGGAGGCGTGCCGCGGACGAGTTGGAGGCCTGGGACGGGTTGATGACACGAGACGAGTTGAAGGACGAGGACGAGTTGGAGCCCTCGGCTGGGTATATTGCATGTATCTCATACGGGGGTATTCCGGCCAGGGCGAGGGCCGATGTAAATAGGAGGAGGAGGAGGGTTGTCAGCTTCATGTTGCGTATTGTTGCGTTTATTGGTTGTGTGTTGTCTTCTTCTTCTTCTTCTTCTTTTTCCTTTTCCTTTTTTTTTTTTTTTTTTTGGTTCCTTAACTGTATCACTTGGTGTATGATAGAGCTCTGGGAGAGTTGTGAAGAGATCAAGTGAGAGAAGATGGATGGAACTTGAATTCATGGCAAACGCGACGTATTAATAGTAGGATCGTGAAAGTTTTGATAGTCTACTAGAAAATAAACTCAGAGTCTCGTATTGAGAGGCTGAACCTATCGAGGTTGTTTACCAAATGAAATTCCTTCTAGGTTTAAAAGAAGCCGACTAGAATTCAGGAACCTTGGCACCAGCATTCGGGAAGCTGCAGGCTAAGTGACCACACGTCTCGAAGCTTAGGAATAGACTTTAGGCTGTGAGAAAAAGGAAAAAATTGCCACGACTCCTGAAGTTCAGAAACATTCTCCAAGCCGCAGAAGGGGGGGAAAGAAAGCAACATTTCTTGAAGTTTGAGAATAAGATTCAACCTGCGAGCAACCTTTGTCCGAAACATGTTCACCCATGATTTAAAAAAATCTTATCTGGGTGCATCTGGCTTTGGATCTAGTTGCCCGAGGGGGCGACGGAAAATAGATGGCTTGTTACACAATCTCACCGTCTTATCTATCTCCGGCACTTGCCAATATCACTTGACTACATGGCTGAGGGTGAGTGGGATGCAGGCATGGGCACGAGTTTAGTCTCGTGACTAAGTAGGTTGTATTAGATCTCAGGATGATAAGGACGTAGTCAGACTTCCGCCAGTTCATCGAGATGAGTGAGGCAGGGCGAGGCGGCGAGGACAAGAGGAGGAGTAAACAGCTGGTGGTTAGGGATTCTGAGCCCTATTGTTGGATCTCTCGCTGAAACTTTTCTGCTCGCCCGGAATACTTGACATGCATGACGCTAAATTTAAGTGTGATGTACCACCTGTTGCCCCCACGTCGGCGATGTTACATGGAGGCAGATCACGGGTGTCCTGAGGAGGTGTAGATCGACTGCTGGGTCTGCACTTGGAAATGAGCTGTGTGGGACAGAGATGCTCATTGCCCTTGCGGTAATGTCGTATTTCTGGTTTAATCGATATTTCTTTTCAGTATTCCGCCATTTCGTTCAATCACAGCTCGAGTTTAGGGTTCAGAGGGCAAATACTACCGCACAACCATATGTATTGGAAACTCACAATTAGATATCAACACCTGAGGAAAATCCATTTTGTTCATTACCGAGACATATATGATCAAGTCAGGGATTTGACATGTACCTACATTGGGTAGTCCCGGAAGGCTTGTGGGAGAAATCGGGTTGGAGACCCGAATCATCCGTGCCACCATCCCATCGGGCCAGGGCTCTGTCTTCTGCACTCTACCATCTGACTTGAGCGTGATTCAGGTAAGCAGTCCATCCATAAGGTGAAGTCTTGGTAGCTGAGCCTTGGATACAGAACTTGCAAGGCCCGTAAGAGCGAAGCGAGAATGGCAGGTGGGCGTAGTGAGTATTTGTTGTATTTCCTGCTGCAACGGCCGTCTCCTTCGGGATGCCTCTTTCATCAGGAAGGCGGACACTAAATTGGACCCTGCGTCTATCATTTACTGGGGTGCATTTCGTCATTGCCAGGGCCGCCTTTTTCTGGCATGGCGTCGTATCTGTGTGTCCGACGCCCGAAGCCCGATGGACACCGACGGGCGAGGCGAATATTTGACAGTGAATTAGCCTTGAATACCTTACATACAGCTATGACAGACGCGAGGGAATCGTCCGATACCCATCTGCGGTTCCCTCCCGCGCCCTTCTCATGGATTTACACATTGCACGCCCCTCCCGCCGCGTCGAAAGAGTGACATCATCAAGGGTAGTTTGGGGGCATCGTGCGAGTATCAGGTGCCTGTTGCAGCAAGCTAAGTGCGAAGACGAGAGCGAAGGTTTCCGAAGGGGGAGCAGCAGCCTGTGTTGTGCCCGGATTGTGGTAGCACATGGCGAGAAGGTTAAAGGGTGATGTGAGTTAGAGCGGGTTGAGCGCTAGGAGCTTACGCAGCAGAGCACATCAGCAACTGCAGCAGGGCACCGCCATTGCAGCAGGGCAGCGAGGCACTAACAGCCCTACGAGTTACTGATCACCAGGTCTCTGTGCTGCGTCAGCAGATGGGCGCCTCTTCCAAGTGCTGGTGCAGCGACGTAACCTTGGTCTAGATAGATCCATGGATGAAAATAGACATCTGCATCATGATTTGATCAATTGGAAGAGGCGGTGTCATTGATTACATGTGTCTACAAATGTCCAGTTCAAGATGTGGCGGAGCTGGACGTCGCCGAACTGAGAGCGGCGACATGCGTCATCAGCTGAGTGAGAGTCAGAGGATAAGGTTACTTCCAGTTTCCCAGCTCCCAGGCAGCGCGCTCTCACGGCCGAGATGCCTGCACCTCACATTACCGCATGTGGAAGCCTCAGCGGTGTTGGAGAAGCTACATATGTGGTGGGCAATACGATTATGCACTGCCTGCGACGCATCGGATCGAGGCAATAAAAAAAACAATATTCCTCGCCTGGGGTGGCCGGACAGATGGAATCTACGATGCGACCGGAGATGCTTTCAGCTGCCTGTTTGCTCCTGTCTTGACGGATTCATCCAGACCCAGCATCGTCCCCGAGCGCACATGTTAGCCGTCCAGGCAGCCCGGCAGGCCGGTGCAAGGATCTCCTCAGCCGTCCGAGGTAAGGAGGACGAGAGGGCGGCTACGATGGATTGTTACCTGCCCACATATTTTGCCTCGACCCCGCGATGCCAAGGGGGACGAGCTCCGCAAGATGAGGGGCAGCATTGGGATTTGCATGATGGAGATCCTGATGGGAGGGCCCAGCCTGCTATTTTCCTTCCCTATCCAGCCTGATCCCCCCCGTAAGTCTCTCGTGTACTGGTACCAGACATCCATCCTACCTTATCTTCTGCAGCGAGAGAGCCGCGTCCCCAACACACTGGTGCAGGGGCCGCCTGCCTGTATGCTTGCTTGCCTTGCAGGCCTCCGTTCCTCATTTGACATACGGCATCATTGAATGGATAGTCTGGTCCTTATGCGCCTGCTGGCCTGTCTTACCCACACACTCTCCAAGGAACACGGGTTGCGGGAACCGAAATCAAACAGCATCGAGAATCAAGGTCTCACAGCAGCTTCTGTCTCTGACAGCTGCCATACCAGCAGCTGTGGGGGTCTAGACTAACCCGCTGATGAGTCCAGATGACAATAGCCAGAGCGCCGGACTCACACGCCCCTCCAGAGATTGGAGCTAGACGGTCTTACTCGCTCTCTACCTCCATTCCAACCATCGTGCAATTTTTCACTATTGCTCACAATCCACCAATGCGAGGCCAGACTCGCTCCCGGCTCCGGGTTATTCCACGCTCAGATGGATCTTGGGGCTGGGCCATGCACGCGGCTCTTCTTCTAGCCTCCAGCCCGGCCCAGAGCTCCTATGCCATGCATGGAGCTCGCTCCGTATTCTTGATGAACGTCAGCTTACCCACGCGACGGTGGCTGCGGGTTTCGCCGTCGCGGCCGCCCGCCTCTTTTGCTACTTGATACGTCGGCCGGGCACTGGAATTTGGGACGTGCCCAAGAACGAGGTAAACGACTGACTGCCGCCCGCAGGTGTGACAGGCTGATCACAGTGATAATCATATTTCAAGTGAATTATGCGCTGCCATGGCATCAGCCGGCCTTGGCGGTGTGTCGTTGCGCGTGTTGCGCGAAGCTGTAATAAGTCTGCACGCATGTGATTGACGCCTTGAGACGTGACGGCCGATCGGCATCGAAATCATGGGAATCTGCCAAAGCCTGACTGCGAGTGCGGCGCGACCTGTAAACCACCCACGTCTTACTCGAGATGTCGATCCGGTAGATGACCCATCTCATTGGGAGACGGGATTTTCTCTAGCTGACTCTAGCCGATTGTATTGATCCCCCCCTCCCATAGCCGGTTTCTTGGAACCAAGTTTGGGGACCGAGTGGCTGACGGCCGTAGAGACACCGAGATAGGCAAGTTTTCGACACGAGAGCTGCGCATTCGTGTTTTATTCAATCCAGTATCGAGCTGGCTCATGATGAACGGCGCATGATGGTTGCTTGATGATAGCGACGGAGGTGGTGTACTCAATGGTGGTCGTTTACCGAGATTAATAACATGTGCAATAACAACAGCTGGACTGGAACCAAAAAAAGAGTCAGACAGACAGATGGTCGCAGAGCCGCTGGGTGAGGTGTGATGGGCTCCAGCCACGATTGGGTTTCCAGTGATGACTATTACTCCTTCTCAGATTCGACAGTTTCTTGCATATTGTCCTTACCTTAGGCTTTTGGCACAGCAAAATGGAGTGGCTGGTTGGTGAGAGCTCACACACGCCCCCTCCAGATCATCAAAATCCCTCCACCCCCCTTTCGACAGCGCGGCCACTAGCTTCCACTCGTACGAGTACCGGCCTTCTCAATCGGTTCATTTAATCACTATCGTACCGCTACACGAAAATTAAGGATTTCGTTTCTATCGCAGTCGTAGCCCAACTGTCAGCTTCCCCTTTTAGGGTCATCTACCATGTCCCCTCTTCTCGGAGATGCTCTGGGACTTCTGCTCTGGGCCAGCTGCTTCTATTGCTGACAGAAAGCTAGGTCAGGCTGATATCAACTGGCAGGGAGGCGCGGGCTGATAATCCAGACACGGGTGCATGGGCCTGGCTGTGTCTTTGCCTGCCTACTAGGCTACTACCTTAAACACTATCCCGTTCCTTTTGTCCCACTCTGATCGATAGTCTGTCCACGTTCGTATTATTATCGACATAGCTGAACGAGCACACAAATGCCACACCGCAGCTGAAGACTCAGAGGCTGCCTGAAGATGCCTGAAGGACAATTGGGAAATTACAGATGTGACACCTGTGCTGGGCTCGACTAGGTAGGCATGCAAGTAGGAAGGTAGCTG